TAATGTGCTAAGACCGGTAAGTGTAACAGCACTAATGTGCACTAATGCATCAGAACATGCCAGGAAAACACACACGACTGAGTAAACAAACAACTCACCCTAAATCCTCACAACAACACATATGCATGCAGGACAGGAATTCTGTGGTTTAGTTTGAAAAATATTTATTTAACATTAAAATGAATTTTCAATATATACAAGCACAAATATGTTCAAAAAGTACAAAATGTCAGAATGTTCTTCATTTAAAAAAAATGATCAGGGATTTAAACCCATGCACTCAGTGCATAAAATCCAATATTTCCATGTCACATGCAAACTATTTCACAACATATACACATGCACTCAGACACAATCACAAGTCAAGTGTGAGTCTCCCTACACAACTGCTGTAACAGTGAACAGATGCATTAGCACCTCATTAACTTTATCTCAAGGAGAAACCAGTTTTTACACACCAGAGAAATGTACACAAACACTGACACTGTTAGCTGTTTGTTCACTGAGGTGATGAGAGGCACTTTTGTTTTGGTGACAACGTCAACATCTGAGTATAAACCAAAAAGATCTGAGAAAACTTCAAGGCACATTCAAATTGATAAACACCCACAAGAAGATACAAAAACTAAAAACAAACAAGTTGCTTGTTTGTTTGAACCAAACAACCACAATTATACAAACAAAACAGCTTGAGTTGTTTTTACATGCCAAGATTCTAATAAACACAAACAAACTGAACATATAAATGAAAACAAAACAACATTTGTGAGGTGTTTGTTTATACTCTAGAAGTTTTTCAAGAGCACCATTGAGCGTCATAATCTCGCAAGTCTTCGAATAAAGAGCTTCAAATAAACACCATCACTTGAAACTACAGTGTCTTTCCTTTTCGCTAACTGTGAATTCTACCTAATGTTACAGGAAATCAGAAGTTTCATTTCTTCTTTTCAGAATAAGAAAATACACAGTTGTGCAACGTAACACGACGGCTACACCCTTTGCTCTGTAAACCATATACACTCCAAAACACTGATCTACGAGGGAGCCAAATCATAGTGAATGAGTCCATAAACATTTATGTCCCTTTCAAACTCGAAGTAAACAACACAAATCTCATCTGTATATGTGACTTTGACCAAGCCACAATGGCTCTCCTCAACACCAAACAAATCTGAGACAGCTGCACTTGGCTGCAGCCCAGACCCGAATGCTGTCTGACATCTAAATGAAGGGTGCGACCCATGCCAAAACAACACAGCAAGAGGGGGACATGCTGGCTTTGGATCAGTCAGGCTGTCGAGTGGCTCTGAATGGAGATGGCAGGTTGCTGTAGGGTTATGACCGGGGGTCGAGGAAGAGGTCGGCCTGAGGTGACTGCTCGTCCTACCATGTTTATGTCGTTTTTAGCAGCCGGGAGTTCGATTTCCACAGGACTGGTCTGGACCGAGTCATCGGAGGGCACAAAGCCTCGCCTGTCAATCAAACTGACAAAGACACGAGAGGAGGCAAAAGAATTACAATAAAGCCACAGTGATAAATGTGACCCTGGAGCACAAAAGCAGTCTTAAGTCGCTGGGGTATAATTGTAGCAATAGCCAAAAATACATTGCATGAGTCAAAATTATTTATTTTTCTTTCTATAAATCTCAATTTCGAAAAATTAACCCTTATGACTGGTTTTGTGCTCCAGGGTCACAAATAGAGGCTTGACATTGTGGAGGTAGTTTTCGCTGGCATACTGGAGACCGTAGAGACTCATCTACACGCGTCTCACCTGGGCGGCATGGGTCCACAGAGCACAGAACAGCAGTTTTTGATAATGCTGTTGTAACTGTAAGGATTTCCAACGTCCTCATTTCCACTTTTCCCTGACCAGGAACCTTTAATCTGTAATACAGACACAAAAATACACATATTTAGGCCTAAATAACAATTAAAAAATGTATTTGTATATATTTTCCCATAAAAAAAAAATCTATTTATTTGGATTATGCAGTTTTAACTAATATATTAGTATATTTGTCAGTCATACACAAATGAAACCGGTCAGATTTCTGTAACGGTGCTAATAAACTGAATGCGTTTTAAATGCACAATGATATTTAGCAAATCAATAAATCCAGTTTGTTTCAATCTCATACATTTTAAATAACTGAAAGTTGCTTGTTTCACAGCTAGCCATATTTTAATCACATTTATGCTTTTTAACTGAATAAATGTGGTCGATTTTACAATGAACAGATCTGTATGGAAGCCCGTTTCCGCCACTGAATAAAAAATAAAAAAAGGTAACTGCGACTTTTTATCTCACAATTCTGACTTTTTTTCTCGCAATTACGAGTTTACATCTCGTGATTCTGACTCTTTTTTTTTTTTTTTTTCCAGAATTGATAAAGCTTGCAATTCTGACTTTATTTCTCAGAACTTTAAATCTCACAATTCTGACTTTTTTCTTGCAATTGTGAGTTTATATATCTTACAATTCTGAGAAAAAAAAGTCAGAATCAGATGTAAACTCGTGATTGCGAGAGGAAAAAAAGTCAGAATTGTGAGTTTTTTTATTATTATTTTTTTTATTTATTTATTTATATATTTTATTCAGTGGCGGAAACAGGCTTCCTTAGATTTGTACTGATTCTAAGCAATTTGAATTATTTTGAATTAAGTATTTTGAAAATACGATTATTTAAATAAAATCAAACTGATGTGATTACTTAATGCCATTATCTTTTTTTAATGTGTTATGACTTGATGTACCAGTGTGCATTACGAGTTTACATCTCGTGATTCTGACTCTTTTTTTTTTTTTTTTTCCAGAATTGATAAAGCTTGCAATTCTGACTTTATTTCTCAGAACTTTAAATCTCACAATTCTGACTTTTTTCTTGCAATTGTGAGTTTATATATCTTACAATTCTGAGAAAAAAAAGTCAGAATCAGATGTAAACTCGTGATTGCGAGAGGAAAAAAAGTCAGAATTGTGAGTTTTTTTTATTATTATTATTATTTTTTATTTATTTATATATTTTATTCAGTGGCGGAAACAGGCTTCCTTAGATTTGTACTGATTCTAACCAATTTGAATTATTTTGAATTAAGTATTTTGAAAATACGATTATTTAAATAAAATCAAACTGATGTGATTACTTAATGCCATTATCTTTTTTTAATGCATAAAGTTTCATTCATGTATGACTTGTCACAATATGCAAATATGCATCACATTAAGTTTATTAGTTTAAACGTTTTAACAAACTAATACATTTAATGTGATGCAAATAAAAGTTGTTTTTGCCTCTGATACACTAAAATGAATTAGAGCTAAATTTAAAATGTATGTATTTGAATTACTTATAAAACTTAATTCAAAAACATAAATCTTACATTTAGCTCATTTTTTTAGTGTAATAGAGGCAAAAAAATACTTTTTCAGAATAAATTAGCCTTAAATCAAAAATACACCTCTTAAGTTAAGGAAAACACTCACATCCTCATTGGTAGTAAGATTTGTAGCCACCAGGTATGTATGGAAGCCTGAGAGGCCCAAAATGGACCAAACTGAAAAGAAGCAGACCACTAACTCAAGAGCAGTGGACAGAAGTCAAGGAAGACTTCAGGATTTACACAAATAAAGAATATGAACAGCAACTACTGAAATATTCTGGGTTAAATATAACTTGATCAACAGCACCATGTTCACTAGTCCCTTGGTTTGTACAAACAAGCAGAATATTGAACTTACAATGGAAGTGTACCAAAGTATGTGACACATTTGTACAGAACAAAATATATATTTCTGCCTTTTTTTTTTCATGGAGCTACTAGTTTTTAAATTCTCACAGGGAGGCAAATATGCCCAAACTCACAGTGTTTTCCAGAAAACAACGGCAAGACACACGACAATTAACGTTTCCTTTGATGCGTCTTCCCATCCCTTCTTTTTTAGTCACTTCAAGTAAAAAACAAAACGTTGGCAACATTGATTGTTTTGTCTGAGATATCGTGTGCAATGGAATTGATCATTGGCATCACATCTTTTTTAGTTTTGTTTGTTTGTTGTTATTTTCACAAAGGAGAATGTGGCTGATTTAGTCCTTCACCTGCAATGTATTGACATCCAGAAAGCAACATTTACCACTATAGGATCACGCACTGTCCAACATTACCGAAGAGGAGCAAGGCAAACGATTCAAACGAGAGAATAATGATATAAAAAAAGAACTACAAAGTTTTGCCCCGCTGCAACCTCAACAAATGGAAAAAAGGGACTGACACTTAATACAAAAATATCACAATTTTATATATCAAATGGCCTCTGTTGGCTCTTGCTCAGGACTACACTCATACAAAGAAACATGTCAACTGACAGGATTTTTCGTTTTTTTTTTTCTTCCTTTCGTCTTTGATTACCACTTGCAGTCCCAATTGTCCAACGCACAATGCACTGCTGCATATGACCTGTTCTTGGCGGCTCACGCTCTGTGAACCTTCTTTTTTCACATTACAAAACTACAATTCTATTCACATATTTTCAAGTTTATCGTTTTTTTTTTTTTTTTTTCCAGAATTGATAAAGCTTGCAATTCTGACTTTATTTCTCAGAACTTTAAATCTCACAATTCTGACTTTTTTCTTGCAATTGTGAGTTTATATATCTTACAATTCTGAGAAAAAAAAGTCAGAATCAGATGTAAACTCGTGATTGCGAGAGGAAAAAAAGTCAGAATTGTGAGTTTTTTTTATTATTATTATTATTTTTTATTTATTTATATATTTTATTCAGTGGCGGAAACAGGCTTCCTTAGATTTGTACTGATTCTAAGCAATTTGAATTATTTTGAATTAAGTATTTTGAAAATACGATTATTTAAATAAAATCAAACTGATGTGATTACTTAATGCCATTATCTTTTTTTAATGCATAAAGTTTCATTCATGTATGACTTGTCACAATATGCAAATATGCATCACATTAAGTTTATTAGTTTAAACGTTTTAACAAACTAATACATTTAATGTGATGCAAATAAAAGTTGTTTTTGCCTCTGATACACTAAAATGAATTAGAGCTAAATTTAAAATGTATGTATTTGAATTACTTATAAAACTTAATTCAAAAACATAAATCTTACATTTAGCTCATTTTTTTAGTGTAATAGAGGCAAAAAAATACTTTTTCAGAATAAATTAGCCTTAAATCAAAAATACACCTCTTAAGTTAAGGAAAACACTCACATCCTCATTGGTAGTAAGATTTGTAGCCACCAGGTATGTATGGAAGCCTGAGAGGCCCAAAATGGACCAAACTGAAAAGAAGCAGACCACTAACTCAAGAGCAGTGGACAGAAGTCAAGGAAGACTTCAGGATTTACACAAATAAAGAATATGAACAGCAACTACTGAAATATTCTGGGTTAAATATAACTTGATCAACAGCACCATGTTCACTAGTCCCTTGGTTTGTACAAACAAGCAGAATATTGAACTTACAATGGAAGTGTACCAAAGTATGTGACACATTTGT